GCATGCATGCCCAAGATCCTGAGAGGAGAAAAGAAGAGAAGGAATTGCGGCGTGGCCATCCTCTCTGTGGGCAGTGATTTCTCACTTTCTGTCTCTCTCTGCCTTTCTGGCAAATGCACATGCTCTATAGAAAAACCCTCTCAGAAAAAAAAAAAAAAAAAAAAAGAATCTATAACTCCTCACAGAAGCTTAGTTCTTCTCCCTTTTGTTCAAGGCCCAGCAGGTGAGGTACTTAGGATGAACACCTTCAACACCAGTGAGCTCAATCACGTGACCATTAGTCCAACCTTGCCTCCCTCCAAGGATGACAACACCAACTGGCCCAAGCAGGGACAATCAGTCACCATCTACAGAGTAAGCCCAGGGTAGCTGGCCAAAGGGACTCTGCTTACGACACAAAAAAAGAAACAAGAAAGATAGGAAACGCAGCCCAGGATTTTCTGCATATGAACCATTCCCCTTATTTCTCAGGGGATGGGCTGTCTAATTAGAACCTTCTTAGACTTGGGAGCTTAAGTAGGCTCAATTCCTTACATAGAAAATTGGCTTATAACACAATATGAGTGGTTTAATTATGTTTAAATCTAATTTAACAGCCCCAGAGTGGGTATCTGAAGGAAGTGATGGGTATAGAAGATCTTCCCCCAATAATCTTTTTTTGTTGTTGTTTTTATGAGGTAAAAATAACAGAACTTTTTTTTCTTTTTTAGAGAGAGATTTTTGCTCTAGGGCATACGCACTCTACAGAGAGAAAGAGATAGAAAGTAAGAAACCACCCCCCAGGAAGGATGGCCATGCTGCAATCCATTCTATTCCATTCTATTCTCTGGATCTTGAACACACATGGACACACACCCGGCATGAGATTTAAGCCACCAAGTCCAGGACTCAAACTGCAGCTGATTATGAGGGAGTCCAGCAACGTAACCATTATAACATCTACTGGTCCCAAGAATTTTTGCTTTTTAAACAGAGAATTTCACATCCCTTTGTCTGTTAAATGTTTCTTCCCTTTGCCCTTCCCACCCATCAAATAATCTTTTTTTAAAGTGTAAGTTCTCATCTTCCAGGCTTGGCTGGATGAAGAGAAGAAATACCTCAAAGCAGTTATGTGACCTTAGATAGTCAGCTCTTTGATATGGGCCTCAGTTTCCTGTAAAATGTGGGAACTCAATTTCGTTAACTTCCAAGGAGCACTCCTGCAGTCCTACAAAAGGCTTTCACGACAAAGCCTTGCAATAACTGCCAGAATCCCAAACTTTAATGACATGGTTTCTAGTTGTTGGGACTTGAGCCATATACCAATCAACTAAGAATGGGTAGAAAATTCCAGAGAGGATATAAGAAGAGATAATACTAGTAAAATGGGGTATCATCTGTCCTGACCCCAGTGTTGTATGTTCTGATTTTGTTTCATTTCATTAAGGAGCAAAGATGAAGGAACCTCCCAAGCCAACATCAATCAGGCTTTCACCTTGACATCTCCATCAGAAAATGCCCCTTCCAAGGTCACCAGTAACTTGACATTGCTAGAACCAGTGGCACAACTAATCCTACCGCTCCTCTCAGCAGAATTCCTCACTGATGACCATTCCTTTATCTTTGAACTATTATCTTCCTTTGGCTTCTAAGAAGCCTCATGCTCTTGATTTTTCTCCTACTCCTCTGGCTTCTCTTCCAGCCCTCCTTCATGGATTTCTCCCCACCTCTCCACCCACCTAGAGTTACAGAGCCCCTGGCCTTTTGACTTTTCTCTTTTCTTTCTATACCCACTCCTCTGGTGTGCTGGCAAGTGTCATGGCCTTCAAACCACTAATGATTCCCAATACTAACTCTCCAGCCTCAACCACTCCCTGCTACAGGATTCTGAGTGAGCCTGAACAGCCAAAGATGCTTAAGATAAAGTATTTATTTTCTTAGTAAAATGGGGTGGGGGGGGAAATCATCTTAAAACTATTTTTTTTTTATTTCTCTTTGCAGAAGAGGATGGGTACTTGCTGCTTACTAACAGGCAGCATGTTTTTCATTTTTGTTTTGTTTTGTTTTGTTTATAAGAGATTTCTGCTGTAGAGCACATGTACTCACTGAAGAGACAGAGAGAGAGAAAGCAAGAAATCACCTCCCCCCCCCATGGTGAATAGCCACCACACAATCCCTTCTCCTCCATTCTCCTCTCAGGATTCAGGGCACACATACACATGCACATGCACTTGGTGTGAGTTTCAAGACACTGGCTCCAGGACTTGAACCATGGTCAACCATGTGGGAGTCCAGCCAATACTACATCATCCACCTTTCCCCACACAGCATGTTTTTCAAAAGTCAAAAGGAAGCTTATGAATAACATGGCAGTACTCTAGAGATAGCTGATCTTGTCTCATATACATTTATTCACTAGTTCATTATGTGCACAGAAAAAAATATGTCCATGAGCATGAGCTAACCCACATTTTAGGAGACCCTGTCTTTGGGTACCTTTGACTCAACAGGACACAGAATACAGAGTAGGATGCCTACTCTTCCATGTTTACCAAATGAGTGAATGAATGAAGCAAAGAAAGCTAAGTTCTATGCTGATTAGGGAACCAAAAAGTCCATTAAAAGGCAATGAAAGATACTCAGCAATTATATTTTGAACACCAATCACATAAAAGAATCATGATAGATTGTGTGTGGGCTGCAAAGGCTTAGGCTATTAGTCATAAGGGCCCTAAAATCCTTGCCCCTATGGTCCTAAAGGTTCTGGAGTAAGTGGTACAGGCTGTCACACTCTGAAAGGCTTGACTTAGCCTGCCTTGAGCACCTTCCCAGTCTCTGGAAGTGGCCCTCAGACCTCACAGACCTGTTGGTCCCTGCTTGTCTGAACACATGCAATTTTTTTCTTTTAATTGGCAGCCTTTGGAAAACAAGTATATGAGTGAACACAGAACAAAGAGTTTAGTCTGAGAATTACATCTCAGATGTCCTTTTTGAGACTTTCTAACCCTTCTCTGCTCTCACAGAAATGAAAAATGACAGGAATGGACACAAGAGGGAGGGATCCATACCCTGAAGAACAGTAACTTTGGATTTAATAACCATCCTAACAAAGTCCCAAAGCTATCACCCTTGGGTGGGTTCTCAAACCTGGAATTCTACCAAGATTTCAGTCATCAGGTCTCCTAATCCCCTCTTGTCTGCCAAGCCACATTCTATACAAAGGTGAATAATAACCAATGCATTGAGACACGTGTTCCCTCAGCCAGTGGATGAGCAATGTCTGCCCACGCAGGCTGCCTTATTATCAGCAGGAGCTAACAGAGGGTCTGTTCTCCCTTCTCCGGGCAGCACAGGCGCTTCCCCACCTCTGACCTGGTGACTGAGCCAGGCCTCGGCAAAAATCCCAGGAGAAGCCTAGGCCTCCCTCGCTCTCTGCTTCCTGTGTTAAGATCTGGTTGGAATGAAAGACTGTAAAGGCTCTTTCATAATGGGGCTGCCTTTATCAAAGGACTGCCTTTCTTTCTTTCTTTCTTTCTTTCTTTCTTTCTTTCTTTCTTTCTTTCTTTCTTTCTTTCTTTTGTCGTTAATAACATCTACATTTCTATTGTCCTCTTAAAATCATAAAATCCAGCAGAAAAGCATGAGGAGGAATTGTTTTATCTGCTCCCCTTCAAGTGGACTGCTACATTTCCAGTTCTTCCCAGGCCTCAGTTTGGAAATGGATGTAGAAATTTCACCACTTCTGAAGTTGCAGAAACCTCGACCTGTTTACAATGACCATGTTCTATGTCGGGTGGTCACATTCCTTTATCGGTGAAATACAACAATGGCTAAAGCATCCCAGCTCTAGGATAGATCTTGGTCCTTCTGGGAGCAGCTAGCATACATTTCAGCACAAGGTGAGTTCCTGGAAGGAGAGAGTAAAGACCAGAGATAAGAGAACAGAGTAAAAATGAATCTGTGGGGTTAGGGTTTCTCCTTATAAGTGGGAGCAGAGGATCTGATACACCACGATGAGGATATTCCATACCAAGTCCTGAGTAAATGAGGAACAGTATAAGCCAGAGGGCAAAGACATTGATCCATACCATACTGGCAGGATTGAACAGGTGGTTATTCAAACTACAGTATATATTTGAAAACCACCTGAAGCTTTGTTAAAATGCAGATTTCTAGGTCCCACCCCAGACAATCTGATTCAGCAGGCCCAGGGTAGAGAACAAGCAGGAATCTGCATTTGTACAGTTTCCTAGTTGGTTCTAGAGTAGATCGCCTCTAGATTTCCAGCTGAAGTACATATACAGAATGAGGTTGGTTAGACTACAGATATTGACCAACAGTAATTTATAGAGGGACAGCAGGTAGTGCGGTGATTAAGGCACTGAATCCCATATGGCCAACTCTGCAGATTCGAGTTCCAGATCCAGTGGCCCAACAAACACTCCAGGAGTGTCTGTGTGCACATGCCCAAAATCCCTAGAGGAAAATGGAGGAGAAGGGATTGCTGCACAGCCATCCCAAGGGGGTGGGGGTGGGGGAAGGGGAAATAGTGATTTCTCACTTTCTCTATCTCCGTCTTTCTCCATCTTATTCCAGTGAGCACACACTCCCTATGTCCAAAAAAAAAAAAAAAGTAATTTATAGAAAATATGTACTTCCTCACAGTCCTAAGGACAAATCTAAGGTCAGAGTCCGGAGGAATGAACACGACTGTATTCATAATAGATTCATAGCTTGAAGGTTAGGTCTAGAGTCCCAAAGGAAGTCCAGGTCCAAAGGCCCATGACAATCAGGGTGCACAAGCCTCAGAGGAGAACCTGAAAGCCAATGTCTGGCAGCCGGCAAAAGTAATAATGGCAGAGATGGCACATTTCAGGTGAACCCTAAATACACAGTGTACATATTACATGCAAGAAGACAAGGTGGGAGGACCCAATAAAGTGGCTTGGTCTCGGTGCAGCTCTTAGAGGCTTTAAAAAGGTGGTTTCCTGCTGTCTTGGGACCTCTCGTTTTGCCTGGAGTTGGGGTTCGCTAGCCGGATGGCTTTGGACGTGAAGTCTCGAGCAAAGCGTTATGAAAAACTGGACTTCCTTGGGGAAGGACAGTTTGCCACGGTTTATAAGGCCAGAGACAAGAATACCAACCAAATTGTCGCCATTAAGAAATAAAACTTGGGCATAGATCTGAAGCAAAAGACGGTATAAATAGAACAGCCTTAAGAGAGATAAAATTATTACAGGAGCTAAGTCATCCAAATATAATTGGTCTCCTTGATGCTTTTGGACATAAATCTAATATTAGCCTTGTCTTTGATTTTATGGAAACTGATCTAGAGATTATAATTAAGGATAATAGTCTAGCTCTGACACCATCACATATCAAAGCCTACATGTTGACTAATTAAGGATAATAGTCTAGCTCTGACACCACATATCAAAGCCTACATGTTGATGACTCTTCAAGGGTTAGAATATTTACATCAACACTAGATCCTGCAAAGGGATTTGAAACCAAACAACTTGTTGCTTGATGAAAATGGAGTTTTAAAACTGTCAGATTTTGGCCTGGCCAAATCATTTGGAAACCCCAATAGAGCTTATACACATCAGGTTGTAACCAGGTGGTATCAAGCCTCTGAGTTACTGTTTGGAGCTAGGATGTATGGTGTGGGTGTGGACATGTGGGCTGTTGCCTGTATATTAGCAGAGCTGCTTCTAAGGGTTCCTTTTTTGCCAGGAGATTTGGACCTTGATCAATTAATAAGAATATTTGAAACTTTGGACACACCAACTGAGGAACAGTGGCCTGACATGTGTAGTCTTCCAGATGATGTGACATTTAAGAGTTTTCCTGGAATCCCATTGCAACACATCTTCATTGCAGCTGGAGACGACTTGCTAGATCTCATACAAGGCTTATTCTTACATAATCCGTGTACCCGAATCACGGCCACACAGGCATTAAAAACAAAATATTTTAGTAACCGGCCAGGACCAACACCTGGATGTCAGCTGCCAAGACCAAACTGTCCAGTGGAAACCTTAAAGGAGCAGTCAAATCCAGGTGTGGCAACCAAACGGAAAAGAATGGAGACCTTGGAACAAGGAGGATTGCCCAAGAAACTGATTTTTTAGTTACGAGAACACTGGATAGTATTTTACTACTGAAGGAAATGGTCAAAAAGGCAAATAATGAAAAATTATTCAATAGTAAATGTTAAGTAAGTGTTATAGAAATAGAAATTAATTTGTAAATATTCCACACATGTAAAATATGTAAAACTGAGTTATTTTATTAAATGTTATTTTAAAATAAAAAATTAATTGATTTTTTTTTAGTGAAAAAAAAAGAAAAGTGGCTTGGTCTCTTCAAGTCCCAATGAATGGATATCCTTTAGAATCAGGAGTCCTTTGGGGAATCATACCTTCTCTGAGCAGAAGCCATAGTAAGTGTAGGAGCTATAAGGAAGCCATAGTTCAAGTTCTCCATATCTATTATTTCAACATCAATGGACCTAGATTCTGTGAGAGATTCTAAAGATGATGACATAATTCTACCATCAAAGAGTTTATAATATAGTTAGGAAGACAAACCTCACAATTAAAGTACTTTAGAAAAACTGATAATTTAAGTATTGGATAACATTGGATATTATCCAAATATTGGATATCACTAAACCCAAATCTTGAATAACATTGAAGCAATTGACCACATCTAACTCTACAAAGGAGTCCTGTGAGGCCAGATAGAAGCTCATAGTCTAGGCAGAGGGTCAGGACTGCATGATGGCCAAAAAACACTTCCAAAATGTGTGTATGCATGCCCAAAATCCCAGGAAGAGAATGGAGAAGGAATGCAGCATGGCCATCTTTTGGCATCCTCACCATACTTTTTACTTGTTCTCTTTTTCCAGTGGCCCTGATGCTAATTTATGTCATCCACACCATCTTAAAATAGACCTCCATACCCTGATTCCTCTCACACCATCAATTCTTACCCTGCACCTTTTGGGATCAATATTCAACTTCTAGTCCTGTTCCTATTCTTTCCAAATTCTTCTTTTTTGGAGAGGTTTTTGCTATAGGGCACGTGCATACGCCAGAAAGACAGAGAGAGAGACAGAGAGATAGAAAGCAAGAAATAATCCCCCAGGGGGGATGGCCATGCCACAATCCCTTCTCCTCCTTTCTCCTCTCTGGATCTTGGGCATGCACGCACACGTGCCCGGCGTGAATTTAAGCCACTGGGTCCGGGACTCGAACCATGGTCAACTACATGGGAGTCAAGCGACATAGCTATTACGCTCACTGCTGGTCCCTTTTTTTTTTTTCTTCACTATAGGATGCATGCATTCGCCAGACAGACAGAGAGAGACATAGAGACAGAAAGTGAGAAATCACCCCCCAGGGGGGATGGTCACACCGCAATCCCTTCTCCTCCATTCTCCTCTCAGGATCTTGGGCACACACGCACACGCGCCCAGCGTGAGTTTTAAGCCACCGGGTCCAGGATGCGAACCACGGTCGACTATGTGGGAGTCCAGCGACATAGCCATTACGCTAACTGCTGGTTCCCCCTTCTTTTCAAATTCTGACAATCCATCTTCTCCATTAAGCTCTCATCATACCCTTAAACTTGACATTAGGCACCAGTCAGTTTTGACTTTACTATGCTCTTTCTTCCCGCTTTCAGCACATTGTGACCCACAAACACTGTTCAGCCACCCTGCTTTTGGCCATCCTAAATATGTAAATAAGTTTCTTGATCCAACCTTATCCCTCAACCCTTGCATTCTTGCATCTTGCTCATCCCCACCATGGGCAGCAGATCGATCATATCTCTTTTCAGGAGAATTCACACATTCACAAAGAGAGAATAAGTGGGTGGACATGGAGAGCCAAAGGAGAGAGGGCAAACTTTTCCTCTCCATCAGAGAGGAAAGCCCAGGTTTTTGGGATCAGTAATAATATCCTCCCTATCAATCAGCATATTTTCTAATCTCAACTACTCTGTTTAGAAGCGGGAGACCAGTTGTTTCTGGAATCACATAAAGGCAATCTTTGGCTTGAAGTGCTGGCCAAGCAGAGTTTTCTACATATTGTTGGAACCTCATGGGAGGGTGGAGGCTAAAGCACAACTGACATGTAAAGAAGAGGCTGATGAGATTGACCATTAAAGGAAGAAATTCAGTTCTCTGGCCTGGTCTTGGCCAGAGCCAGATTGCTGAAGTGTCTTTCTTACTGAGTTTCATCGATAACCCCAAAGTCCCAAAGCTTTTGAGGATTAAGAACCAATGGAAACTCTGAAGTTGGGAGCCCACATCTAACTAACTTTGTAGTCAATAAACAAAGCATGTCCCATGCAAGAACCCATCTCCTGAATACCACATTGCAGGATCTCTAGTAGAAAACAAATCTGATGTTCTAAGGAGGTTCTTCTCATTTTCAACCTTTCTCTTTCTCCGACACATGCACACAAGTATACACCATACACATGACTTTAAACTGCTTACAGGCAAGAACAATTTCTTACTCAATGTGTTTTATAACACCTGGAGAATTCTTTGCACATGTTAGACCTTAAAACCTGTGTTAATGAGCAGGATCAATAATACTAAAATAAGTAATGCTACTGAGAACCTAAGCCATGGGAGGATCCATGAAGGACACCAAATACAAATATCTTCAGGGCCCCTCCCATACAGGTCATTTTCCCTTTAACTCACAGACTCAAGTTAATTAAAAAGACTAAAGGAAACTTGTCAATTCTTGCATCTTTCTAATTGCACCTTTTGCTAAGTTTCCATGACAGTGAGTATCTGTGGCCAATCAGCCATCGCCAGCCATAGTCCAAACCTTGAGGGTTTGGGGATTTATAGCCCAGACCTATACTTTGGTTAGAGAGGGTGGCAACATTTAGGCAACTAAGGCTAGATATAAATTAATTATTGTACCCACTCTGTAACACTGTGGAAAAGTCATTCTCCACTTTCCCAAGAACTCCTTGTTCATTAAGTTTTGCAGAAAGTGTCCCTCTGGGGTTCCCCTCTGTGTCCGTTGCTTTTCATTATTGTCAACTTCCCTCCTCCGCATTGCCCTATTATCAGAGACTTTAGGAGAAGGCTCATAGATCTATAGCCTTGCCTTCCTTACATGAGAATGTGAAGCCTCAGGAGACATTTTTCATCAGGGCTTGTTCAGGGTTTGGGCCAGTTCCACTACATTCCAGATTCCTAAAGCTTAGCAGAAAGCCTTGTGAGAACAGAAAGCCCTCTAAGCAAAAGAGAATTAGTATCCTCACTTTACAATGTTATTGTCTCCCTAGTAAATTATTCTCTGATAGATCATCTTTTGTGAATGGGACATGTTGTTTCCCCCTAGAAAAACACTGATTGTTGAGGTAAACACTGATTGTATGTTGAGGTAAAAAAAAAAAAAAAAAAATTGTAGAATGAAGTCTGTCTTCAAATTCCCTTTTTGTACCCCATAAACAATTTCAAGAAACCAGTGTCACCTTTTTCCAAAGAGAAAAGTATCTGCCATTTTGGAAAACCAGATGTAATATGATCTGAGAGAGAGAAGAAAGTTGTCCTGTTTTGGGTAAAGGCCACAAGGCCAAGCATAAAAGAAAAGAACAAAGACTCTGTATTGTTGAGCTAAATGGCCACCCAAATATCCCAAAGAATGAACTTTAACTTTCTCAACAGAAAGGCAACCACAAGAAGTTTGGCAGGTCATGGAGAAAGTTCCTTCATGAATGTGTGGCCTTTACAGTACTGCTTCTTTACTCAGAATGAACACAGGGCCTGAGAGATGTGTGTCTTTTCCTGTTTTGTTTTAATGGCAGACTCCGAACACAGGCTACAGTTTTTCCTCTGGCCTTAGAGCTGTCCTTGCTTTGCCCTCCAAGGCCTACAGCCAGTTGAGCATTTTTGGCAAGACAGAAACACTTGCTAATCCAAAAAAATGCCCAGGAACCAACAGACAGAGGTGGTTCCTAAGCTTATTTCCTGTGTTCAGACTCTGGAGTAGAATCCTAGTTGGGCCTTGCTACAGAGTCTGAAAGGTAGAAAAGGTAAAAATTCTCTAAAATGTTTCCAAGTTTTCTATTTACTGGAGAGACAACAAACCAATAACCATTTGGCAGAGTTAACCTGGTGGCAGAAATTGTCCAAGAATTTTCAAATAGCAGTACGTGGCCTAAAGGAGGGAGGTACCAGGAATGGAGTATGAAAGGAGCAAAATTTTTTTTAAAATAAAAAAAAAAAATGTATTGGTGCTCTTGGCAATTTAAGGTTGGAGTGGACAGAATAGCCAAAAGTAGCTTGCTACTGCATTAAGGAGTGGTGTCAATAGAGCTATGCAGGATGGTGATTTCACTTGAGAAGTCAAATCTAGGCCAAGAGTATAAGTGCTAAGATATTACCCCAGCAACTGCCAATTTCTTTGCTGCTTGTTTTCACAAGAACTGAGGTAGGAGGAAGTAGGTTTCCTATTGGAGAAGAAGGCAAAAAGGTTGAAGAAGGCCTCAGTACTCTCTGGTTTATTATAGAGCAAGAAGAAACACTGTCTGTGATAGATAAAATAAAACATCAGGAAAACAGGAAGCCCAACATTTGAGAAGGCAAAGGAGAATCAAAACTAGAAACCAGACAATGATGAATAGAAAAAAACTGGCACAGAAATGAAAATATAAAAGAAAACTTGCACTTTCTGGGAAATACACTATTGGTCAGAGCTTCATTCTTTAGAAGATCTTCTAAAGCTCCTCATTCTCCTGGAGAAGATATGCAGCCTGCTGAAGAAGAACCACAAGCATAAATCACCCACCACAGGCCCTGGGATAGGATTGGAGGTAGGGACTTCCAGTAGGGGAAAAGGGAAAATCTAGCTCTATGAATAAATAATACAGTCAGTCAAAAGGCACTTTGTCATTTGAGAGGTGTAGAGGAAGTGACTGTGATTTAGCAAATTCTCACCATTGTCTACTAAAGACAGTTTTACTGAGGTGTTTCTAAACCTATAGATACAATGAAGAGTCCCAAAAGAAACTTGAGACACAATCTCTAGAGACAAAAAAAGTCAAGGGCATGATGGGACCAGCAGTTAGTGTAATGGCTATGTTGCTGGACTCCCATGTAGCCAACCGCAGTTCGAGTCCTAGACCTGGTGGCTTAAACTCATGCCGGG